GGACCAGAGTGAATAGGGTGTGTATGGGGAGCATGAGTGGGTGTCCGGCATGCATTTTTGTAAGTCTTTGGTTGTATGTGCATGTGTGAGCATGAGGGAGGGAGTGTGTGACTGTGTTTGTGTATGACTGTATATGTCAGGTGGGGCCTTTGACTCCTCTCTTCTCCTGGGACTTCTTTTTATGATATAGATCTTTGTCTCCCCTCCCCCTGCCACACCTGGTGTGGGGTGTGGTGACTTGGTCTGCCTGAGTGTTCGTGGCTCCCGGGTCAGGGGGTTTAAGATCTTTGGCGCCTGCCTGGTCAATCCCGGTGGCTGCCTGGTGGGGTCTTGGTCCCTGGGCTCTGCTGGGTCCCCGGCGGGGGTGGTCCCTCACACTCTCTATTGGATGCTCCTATAGATAAACCTTACATAAACAAGTGCGTGTACACACACAGGTGCTCACATGGTGCTCTCAAAAGTATGGGCTTGGGCACGTTCAACACATGTCTTAAGGCTGTCGTTGCCACTAAATGCACTATGATTTATTATTGTGTGATTGTTCATTTAAACATTGTTGATTTTATATTTCATCATCAGGTTAACGCGGTGATAGCTTTCTCCTGATGTATTGTTGTGTGTCCCATTTTTTCTTCTATTCTTTCTCTTTCTGCAGGTCTAGAAGCAGACTCTTGTTAATTATTGTTTATTTTTGTGGAACACCCCCCCCCCGCCTCTCCCCACCTTTTGTCTTTTCCTTTCTCTTTCACCTCTGACTCCGTGTCTGGTCGGAATTACAAAGCATTCAAAAACAATAACAATAACGTTTTAAGTATCAGGCGGGACATTAAAAGCAGACGCTTTGATGTTCCACCTGAGAGTAAATCTGTAAGGCTTGTTACCAGCGTTCAGACATCAATTCTGTTTGCTTCACAGCCAGACAGGACACGGTTAAAAATAAATAAATAAATAAAAAATTCAATAAATAAATAAAAGAAAATATTCAATCATTATCAATTACTACAATAGACAGAGTCCTGAGATGGAATGAAATGTACATGAAACAGCTGTACGATGTACAGTTTGAATGGAACAGTGACAGAGTGAAGGAGCTCCGTCACAAGTATGCACAGGTGAAACTTGTATGCATGCTGTACTCTGTTTATTGTAGTGCTTTACTGTAAAACCTTTATATATTGCTATGCACAGCACTTGCATTACAGTGTCATGCATGTTACTGTAACTACATTTACAGTATATACTGTACAAATGCTGTTATACTGACTTTTTTTTCTCACCCTCTGTAAAGCGTATCCTGGAACTGGAGGCCAGGGAACCACTGCACACATTCATTAATCTTGATGAATCAATCGATCTGTCAAAAGGCAGATGGCATGGAGGAAACTGCATTGGAGAAAGAGCCACCAATGATGTTCCAGGCCAACGTGGAGGGAATATTACAATGTGTGCCGCAATCTCACAAAATGGCTTCATCATCCATGTTACCCGTTTTGGTCCGCACAATACAAAACACCTTTTGACTTTTTTGGATGCTCTTTATTGAATTGAGAATGAAAGGAATGAGCCTGGTGAGAATCAGACAAAGTATGTAGTAGTTTGGGATGATGTAAGCGCCCACCACTCTGTTGTGGTCAGGTAGTGGCTTGCAGCAAGACTGGATGTTTGTGTAGTATCTTCCTCCCTACTCTTCATTCCAAAATCCAGTTGAGGAGTTTGTCTCTTCCTGGAGGTGGAAGGTATGACTGGTGTCCCCATACCCAGATGACCCTGCTAGCAGCCATGGATGCAGCTTGTGATGGATGACATCACAGCAGAGTCCTGCAGAGGGTGGATTCAGCATTCAAAAAGATACTTTCCTCTGTGCGTTGACAGAGCTCGCATTTGCTGTGATGTCAATGGAAATATATGGCCACAGAGACGGGAGCATCTAGATGTCCATGATTAATCTGCAGCACTGTTTCAATTTCAAAACTACTGCAATGAAGTTTACTGAGTCAAAGGCAGTTTATATTTGTTGTACATGTTTTTGTCCAGTTGCACAACGCTGGAACAGTTGGACATACACAGTATAACGTAAAGTGTATATTCAGTGTCTTGATTTTTATTTACTTCTAGTTTCCTTAAAGTCATGCATGGTATATAATGCTGTCTTGGCTTTGAAAGATTTTCCAGAGTAATCTGTCACAGTGAAAATATGACCAAACCTTTAGACTCGATTGTTAAAATATGCTATTGTCATAACTTGTCATTTTGACCACGCTGACACTTTCATTGGCATAAATACTTGCTTTAGAAGAACAAATCATTCATTTTGATGACTTGCTTTTGAAGCATGAACTACCCGTTTTGAGCTACTGACTTGCGTTTGCAGGTTATCTACCACAGTTTGCACTAATTGTTCAACACCTTAGCAGTGGTGCAAACTTTAACACTGTTGTGAGAAATGCATCAAAACGACTAAGAAAAACTATTCATTGCTTTTGTATCTCCACTATTGTGAATGTTTTAACATGTTTTGATCTCATCTTTTGGCTGTTTAATTCTGTCTTATATTATGGAGCTTCCCTGTTCCTCACTGTACAGGACTTTGGTCAACTGTCCTGTTGTTTTAAAATGTGCTTTATAAATGAACTTGGTATGGTATTTTAGACCCAATTTCCCATTTTTTAGACCCGATTTCCCTTTTTTTAGATTAACACTACTTTAAAACCCACATTAAATTTAAGTGCTATTGTTTATTTTGCAGGAATCTGCAGGAAGTGCTCTTTAGTTTTGTCTTGTTTAGCATCATCAACACTGCCTGTACTAACAGTTTTGGTCCAGCAGACAGCAGGAAATATCCCTAATCCCAAAAACCAGAGGGCTGAGTCATCATGTTTCATGCAGTTGACCTAAATAATACATACAAATCCCCTATAGACACAGTGTGTGGGCATCAGTCAAATCAAATGTCAGATTAAATGCAATTAAATTAAAAGTTTATGAATTATATAACCAAAAACCAAACAGAAATGCAGTTCATTTTTAAACTGTTCTATGTCTAAATAAACCTTTATAGTTGCTATAGTAGAAACACTTCCAAATGTATTGTTGCCTTGGGAGAATGGGGATTTTCTGCTATCTGCTGGCAAACAACAGAACTACACTTGTTTTCAACAGCATTTAGAAAAGAAGGGAGCAGAGGAGTTGCTGCACTCCAATGTCTCAGAGCTGTTTCTGCTGCTTTTGTGTTTTTAACCACATAGACAAGTACATTTTAGCCTCCTTATCTTAACTAAGCCTTAAAAAGAATAATCTTTATTTTTGTCCTCTTGGGAATAATACTATTAAGGAGGAGGAGGAGAAAGGAAAGATGGAACTGGGTTTTTTAAGTTAAACATGTTTATAAGTGTTGAGAGGAGACTCGGGGCAGACTCGCTAATAACATGATTTGAGTCTGAGACAAGCTCCTCTCTGTGTGTGGAAACCTCTGACCTCCAGCCCCACTGACCCCCCTCTCCTACACTCAGTTCTGTGGAGGAGCAAGCTGACTGGGTTTGCCGGAACCGAGACGGCATGCCTGACTTCTCAGACACCAGAGCAAGGAATCTAAAATGAACTGCATGTGTGAAAAAGGCTGGAAGGAAAGAAAAGGGGGGCTCCCTGCTTGCTAGGCGAAGAAGTGTTAAACCACAAAGATCACATTTGAAGAGAATGGGCCTGCAAAGGTGGAGGGGGAGTTTTTGTGCTGCAAAAATAAAATATGAGTCTTTCTGCTAAGAAGTTGATCTTTGATTTGAGACAGTAATAAAAAAAGAAACAGCCTGGCAGAATGAGGAAAAATGATGATGCATGAAGGTGGGAGGGGTGGAATAAAAAGTGTTTGGGGTTCTGATCGGTGTGGTTTGTTGTTGCTGTTGGGGCAGAGAAGTGTGTGTAAACACAGAGAGAGCTTGTTCTCTGACCTGCTAGAATCTCGGGTTTTTTGATAAGAACTTTTCCTATTTAGTCTAAGCTGTTCTTCCCTGTGTTAGATTACCTCTTTTCCTTTTGTGTGTGGAATAAACTTTTCCCTCCTTCGGAAAGGAATTAAAATTAATTCATGGGAGCCTCCTTTCCTTCTCTGGCACAGCAAAAGATGAGTTTGCTGGTTGCTTCATTCCATATCAGGTTCACCTGATCAGAGGGGAGCAATTTTCTAGGGTCACCCCTTGGGGGCGCCATTGTTGACTGCACGCTGCAAAAGCCCCTCCCAGTTCTGGTGCATGCAGTACAAGTATGAGCGAATATTCTTTTATGCTAAAAACATAAGTAAATGAGGACCATGAGGGTTTACCTTGGTGTTGTGTCTAATTGCCTCTCATTTAATTATGTTTTTGTAATAAAGGGATTTGCATAATTAATTTTCAGTATACAGGTGTTGGTCATAAAATTAGAATATCATAACAAAGTTGATTTATTTCAGCAAATCCATTCAAAAAGTGTCATGAAGTTGAACCATTTTGGTTTTATAACCCTCATGGGCGCAAATAAATCCATCCATTTTCTGAACCCGCTTGTCCATGTAGGGTCGCGGGGGGGCTGGTGCGGTCAATGGGCAATTAGGTGGGGTACACCCTCGACAGAGTGCCAGTCCATCACAGGGCAACATAGAGACACACAGGACATACAATCACACACACACACACACACACACACACACACACACACACACACACACACACACACACACACACACACACACACACACACCTAAGGACAATTTAGACAGACCAATCAACCTAAAAGTCATGTTTGTGGACTGTGGAAGGAAGCCGGAGTACCCGGAGAGAACCCACGCATGCACAGGGAGAACATGCAAACTCCATGCAGAAAGATCCCAGGCTGGGAAGCAAACCCAGGACCTTCTTGCTACAAGGCAACAGCTCTAACCACCACTGTGCAGCCCAGTTACAATAAATGCTTCATGAAAAGCATCACAGCTTTGTTGCTAATCACTGGGGGGAAAAAAGGTCAACACTGAAAAGGAAAATATTATATTTAATGTATTTACAATAAACATACAATCATCTTTTCATCTCAAATATATACAGAAATTAAAGCTTTTAAATATAAACTCACGAAATAAAAGAAAATAGCTTCAGAGAAATCAGAGGGAGTATCTAAAAATATTAATTGAAGCTTTGAAAATATAGGCAATATTTTCTTATTTCAGCACACTTCTGCTTTTTACAGATCTCCTGCAAACAGTCTTCAAAGTCAACACTGAATACCAGCTGGAATATAAGCAGACATGCTGATTGTAAACCATCGCCAACATGGTTAGCTCAAGGTTTCACTTAAATCAAAGGCAACATGCTGATGCTCAAACCAACGATCACTTGTTTATGAAGAGTTTTCTACTCTTGAACTCACAATAATAAAATCTATGACCATATATAAAATAAAACAGTGAAATGGAACATTTCTGATAAAATATTTGGGTAGTAAACTCTTCATATGCCAATAATCTATCACTAAAGTTCCACTGTAAAGTCAACCACCAAGCAAGGCCATCAAGAGATTAATGAGAAAATCAGGATGTAAAAAACATTTCTACTCTAAAATTATTTTCTCATCACAAGGCAAACGTCTCAAGCACGTGTAAGCTCCAAGAGAAAACAGTCCCATGGCCGCAGGTCAAAAGGAAAAGTCAAGCGAGTGCAGTTGCACCTGCCGCCAGCACATCTGACACGCCTACGATGTATCTGCTGCTTTTTTACATTGTTCTTATTTACTTCTTTAATTATTGTTGAGTGTTGCTGTTGATATGGCACACATCTGCTGTCAGAAACAACTCAGAGGAGAACTGCGACTGAAGTCTGGCTGATTTTCTGCATCACGGTTTTGTTTGTACAAGGCACGCCCAACATCAGTGTCACTTCTAAGTGTTGACTGCAATGCGCAGCAAAGACATGACCTGCACAGGTAGAAAAGTCCTAAATATTAACAGTTATTAAGTGTCACATGGTGCTGCTCTTTAGTCTCATGTACAATAGTTTCTACACGTTTTAGGACACACTTGAAATGTGGGGGTCGCTGCGGGAAGGTAACAGAGAGCAGAACACTTTGAAGGTGTCACTTTGGCACTGCTACCAACAAAACACTAGGACTCGTCATGATGATATCTGAGACAACACCTGTTCGAGGTAAACTATCTTTTTAGTTTTCCAACTCACCTGTGCTTCCTACTGTTTTGTTTTCCTTATATGCATCAGCTGATGGAAGAAACTAAGAACATCTTCAATAATTCATATTTCTCTGAAGTATCCTGGTATATTTACACTCAGACTCTGGTTAGGTTTAGGTCTGGTCATAAACAGGAAACTACTGTTGCTGTGTTTTGACCACTTCATCTGAATTAAATTGTTGATACTGAAGGAAAAACCTGGAATTATTTGAAAGTGAGCAAATAAAAAATTGTAAATATTTTCATGAATATCAACTAATAAAGATCAGATGCCGTTTTTGAATTGTGGTTCAACAGAATACAGGTAAAAGAATGAGAATGTAGTGCAAAAGTGTTTTAATTTCGGTAATTCAACTTAAAGGTGAAACTAAGATAGACTCATTTCATGCAAACCCAGATATTTCTGCCTTTATTTGTTATAATTGTGATGATTATGGCTTACAGCTGATGAAAGTGTCACACTCTAATCAGCTAATGCATCTAAAACATCTACAAATGGTTCCTGAGCCTTTAGATGGTCTCTCTGTCTAAGTTGGATAACTGACAAAAATTGACTTTGGCACTATATTCTCATTTTTTCCAGTTTGACCTGTAACTTAAAAACAAATGCAATTGGCCCGCACTAAAATAATGAGCTTAAGCCATATGTGCCAATGCGCCCACAGCGGTCGGCTGATCGCCTGCTTCTCTGTAAACCCACAATGCCCATCACAATCTGCCAATCACCTACAGTTGCAATTTTTAAAACCCACTTTTATGATCTCTCTTTTAAATCATGAACTGGGTCATGTTTTACTTTTTAAAGTGACATTGTGTAGTTTTTACCATTAATCTCTGGAAATATCTATTGAGATGTTGTAATTTAATTTAAAGATGCCCAGTTGTTTAAAAATCTGTTCTAAAATACATTGAGCGGTTCTAAGTCTCTGGGCGACGCCATATTGCATGCCATGTTTCCTTCTACGGAAGCCCGTGAGGACAAAATGCATTTACTTATTTGTAACAAACGGTTACAAAACTTTCACCATTAATAAACTTTGTGTTACACATTTACCTCTTCACTCATTGCCAGTGACGAAAGGAAGTCTGATGATCTTGTTATTTTGCTGGAGGTTGTGTTCCCAGGGATTTTTGACCCTAATGGCCATCTGTTGGTAAGATCTTATTTGAACACAAAAATACTGCTTGTTTGCAGTGATTTAGGGATGTACTGCCCCCTATCGCCAGGGAAAATACACACTGTCACTTTAACTTTTAGGTTGTTTTTTTTATCTTATATTGATTCATGCATCTCCACTATGCAATATTTTAGCCTTTTGTTATCGTTTTATTAGTATTTTATCTGGTTTCACTGACTATTTCAATTGGCTTATTGGATGTCCTTTGTTGTATATTTATTGTTTTATTCTTTGTTGTAATGGCTTGTTGGTCTAGTATAATTACCATGACCTGTGAGGTGCTTTGGTCAGCTCACATGCTGTTTTTAAACGCGCTTGATGAATAAACTGGTATGGTACGGTATAGTATGGTATCTATGATTGCGGGAAGAGTGGAAATAACTAGACCATAGAGACAAGTTGAACAAGTTGATGAGGTGTGTCATAATCAGCATCAAAGGTGTCTTCACCCTTGTAATTAGTCAGTTTGCTCCTCTAAAGGGACTAAAACAGTCACAGTGCTGTTTGAATCATTATTGAGAACATTTTGGAGGGCCCGGGTGCTGGGACCGTGTGATTTGGTCTTGGGTTTCATAGTTAGATGTGCGTGCCGTTGTCGGTACAGGATCTGCTCGGGTGCAGGATCGGCTCGGGGTCCTTCGACTGCTGATGACGTCACATGACTGCAAATTTACTCGGCGTTCACACATACGTTTTGGAAAGACATCAGCAGTTTTGTTAATAAATTCTTGTTTGTTAACACCTAAATGGTTTCTTTATAATTGTAATTTGTTAATAAAACACCATATTATCTTTGTTTTGTAAAGAATGTGAAACTGCATGAAACCAACATCGGACTGACAAAAAACAGAACAGTTCTTATACGTGAAGCCATATCTGTTTGTATTAATGTGGAGTTTGTCTGTATATTTCCTTAGTTGTTATCTAAATACATTCTTTGACTCAAAATATTGCTTGGTGCCTTTCAATAAAGTTCTTATATTTTATTTTGCCCCATTTCATCAACAACAAGAACTGTTGAGGGTCGCCGTTTATCATTTGCTTATATTTTACATTTCCTTTAGAAATTCAAACATATTTTCTCCAAAAAGTGTTGATTTTTGAACTACAGGACTACAACCGCTAATTTGTTCTGACCAATCAAAATCATGACGTGATAACGTAACTTCCGTAAGCTTCATGTTCAGCCAATCAACTACTTTAACGTCATCTGCAGTCGAAGGACCCCGAGCCGATCCTGTACCGACACCGGCGCCAATATTCTGAATATGATGCTGTATGTCGGCTGGAGGGAGGGTTAGGGGAGGATGATGTTCAGCTATTCATAGACTCACTCATTTTGACTCACAACGGGGAAGGCTGTTGTTGTTTTAATGTCCAGGAAACAGCAGCGAACGTCTCGGCTAGTTGAAGCTAATCGTTAGCATTAGCAATACCACCACACAGCAGAAGCTCCTGGCTTGTATAATTTGTGGAGATAAAACATCCACGTTGCTAGTATCCAATCCAGGGTGAGATGTCCAAATATCAGGAAATAGGACAACAAAACCTGCCGTCTGAAGCTCATCTATGATGTTGGAAACTTTTAGGTCTGAGAAGCGGCGCACCGGTGTGTGCACCAAATCTGCTGAAAAACAATAGTCGCCTAACACTGGTCCTGTGCTGGCCATCACATGAATCTTTGTGGACAGGGTGCGTTTTTACGACGGATTTATCCTCAATGCAGAATTTGTCAGAATATTCACAAAATATCCAGGTTTCAGAACCTAAACCACCATAAGAGGAGAAATGCCCGATGACGCAATTAGTTTTCTTTCAGACTTTTTGGAATTTTCTAACTAAAACTCTAAACGTGCTGCTGATACGGGAAAATGCATGAATGTAGCCCAAAACGGGTTTGGGGGTTGTTTTCATGAGGAAATAACAATATCACATGGTAAAAAGCTCAAAAAAGTGGATTTTCCATGAGAAGGCCCCTTAAATGTTTTTTCTGGTAAACCACAAATCAAAAGCTAGGTCTGATTATCATTAGCTGATTCTCTCAGGGAATCTTTAATCATCGTTACTTCAGTCAGTTTGAAACTTTTCCGGAGCTTTCTGTCCAAAACTCAACCATACCAACAAATCTCTCCGTGTCTCTATTTTCACTTCTAAGATGTTTTCATTTTTAGATTCCAGTTATAGAAATGTTTGCAATAAATACTTTGGTAGAAACTCGAAACACAGAAAGTGGCATACCCCTCCAAAACCCAACGGTAGGACTTTGTGAGCTCAAAGGAACATTTGAATATTTTCAGGGGTTTGTTTTGAGCTGTGAAATCAGCATGGCCGTTTCAGGAAGCAAAACTCCTCCTGCCAGCACCTTCAAAGTCAGCTCATTACCGCCTCCTGTTAACCTCATTACCCACCAAAACACCCTGGCGAGCTTTCAGTGTTGCGGGAATCATGTGCGTTTGCTGGCAGGATTAGAAACTCATCTAAAACAAAAAGCTCCTGTTTCTACTCTCTAGTTTATGTATGAAGCAAACCCAAAAGAAGAATCCTTTGTAGAGGCGGACAGAACCAGGATGGACCTTCTCCTAACCACAGAGCTCTTGCATCCATACTGTTGCAAGCAAAGGAACACTCTTAACTTTAAATCCATCTTCTGACGGCCTTCACACGCTGAAGGCTTTCAACATTTAGCAAATCAGATCTGTGGCATTAACGAGCTTTTGATGTGAAAAAACCATGTAACAATCTCACAGAATAAGCCGGGTTATATCATCTATATGTGCAGGATGTAAACTTCAATAAAGAAAAATAACAAGAATCACTTCAGTGTGAGTGATTATGAGTCGGCATAATAAAATATTAACCGTCAACATCTCAATGCAGTATGCATTATAAAGCTCTTCTCTAGCCATAAACAGAAGTCAGAGGCCTCTAACGTGTTTAACCACAGAGCCTGAGCAGCTCTGTCACCTCATACTGATTTTTATTTGCATGCATCCACAGCATGCGTGTTAATTTGTGACACCGACAGCTCCCAGCTGGTGTCTGGAGTACCTTCAGGTTCTCTCTCCTGGCTGAGGACTCTCCCATCAAAACAGCCCCCTGCTTAACGTCGTGCTGCTGTGTGATCCATGCAGGGGCAATCACACCCTGAAGTTAATCGATTTGCTTACGGCGTTACGTTTCCCGTGACATTATTTTGGTGGTGAGTCAGACCTGTGGTTTGGAAACCATCTAAGCAAAATGTCCAGGTTGTGGTTGTCCTAAAGGGTCTGCAGCACGATACTTCACTTTGAGCAAGAGTCCTAAGATTTAAAGTAAATCGGTTAAGTGCAGCGTTCCTGGTTCAGAAGGCTGATGCACAGTTCTGATTGTTGTTGGCTGGTTTTTAGGTACGTCTAGTTTAAAGTTTGAATTCTGCCTGGTAAAATGTGCATTTTTTCCTGCATGGATGAAATTGACTAAGGGGATTATTTTCCACTGATTATTAGTTCCCTACTATAACAGGACATTCCTGAGGTGTGTTTCTGTGTAAAAGTGATAAATAATTACAACTCTTCTCCTGAACAGCCTCGGCATGGTGATGTGGAGCTTTTCTTTGCTTTATTCCATTGGTTATGATCTCTGTTTCTTTGTGTTTAGGCAACATTTTTATCAGTTTATTGACAGCTTCCTTAACTGTCCCCAGAATGTGGTGAGTTTTAGTTTGGACCTTTCATTGTCCATTTTTTATTAGTTGTCTTTTCTATTCATTTCCCTCTTGTGATCCACCAGCCCAACTGCCCTCACTCAGCAATACGTGCATCTCACTTTACAGACATCGTCCTACAGGACTGATGAGCTAACGGCTAGTACAAGACTACACGTGTTCTAAACTTCAAAGCAATGTTAGTATTTAAACCTTGACACCAACCAGTAATCAGTCCTCCCTGCATAATTAAAGGTTTGGCCCAAGGAAACCACCAGATTCTGGGTCCACATCACTGCTTCACCTGGCTGTAAAGCCTGATTTATGCTTCTCCGTCTGCGTCAGTGCGGAGACACGCAACGCCATTATCCGTCCTTGCGTAGGGCATGCAAGTACGTACGGAGTCGAGCCCACTTTTTTAAACATCCATCGAACGAGACGGATTACGCAAGCTTGTGATTGGTCAGGACGCCGCTGTTGTTTACAGTGCCGCCATTGCAAAGAGAACCGAGGATAACTAGCGGCAGACACGGAGAAGCTTGAAGAATACCTCGCGAAAAAACTCTAAAAATATGAACGTTTCATCCTCCGGTGACTGGAGGAGTGAAAAGATGCGCAGCAAGCGTTTTATTTGTGGACGGAAATGACAGGAAATGTGGGTTTAGAGGTGGGGAGCGCATGAAGAGGTGGGAGAATGAGAGACAAATATGTCCGTGTTAAAAGTCTCTTATGTACACAAAAAACACGATATAAACACACGATCTTGGACCGATACATGACAGGATACCACAGAACAGCGCTACGCCCTCTGTTGTCCTGCCGAGGAATTGCTTTGCAACACTCCCCAGGAGACGAAGAAGTATGAGAGCAACACGCTTCTGTCAATCCGTGCGTGTCTGTCCCTTGTGGAGCTGACGGAGAAGCATAAACCAGGCTTTAGGCCTTCTGGCTGTTCAGGGCTCCATCTACAGGTCGCAAACTAATCATTCATAACTTTTACACAGAAATGAGGAACAAAATTTGCCTGGAAAAGGTCAAATATTGATTAACCCCTTAGCATTCCAGCATTCCATTTTTGTCACTTTACAACACTCGTGAATTTAGTATTAAGACAAAGTGCTTGCCAATGCTCCAGACTGTTTAGTTTTTTAGTCATAAACTAGTTTTGATCTGAGTGGAAGCTGACTGGAGAGACGGGCTCCCATCAGGCTGGTATCTAGTTACTAGAACGGTCTGGACTGCACTACGTCAAAGTGACAAAAGTATGTTAGGAGTAATTTTTGTGTTTTCTTTCCGCGCCTGAGAAACACTGAAGGAAGCAACTCATCTGGTAAAGTTGTAGCAGTCTCAACCTGATGTACTATATCCTCTTGAAGTTATACAAATGACCATATTTGATGCTTTTGATGCCATCAATCTTATGTAACTGTCAGAGGGGACACATGACCTCAGGTCAACTCTCTAAGCCAGCTATGATTCTCATTACAAACTTGGACGGAGCACTTTGTGAAGCATCTCTCCGTGTGTTAAGTTAGGTTTGATGTTTGGGAGGAAATAATCTACAACCCTTAAAGCAGACGATGCCACAGACAGATGCAACACCGACATGAATATCTCCTGGTTGCACTATAAAACGGACTCCATGTTGTCACTTGTCTCCTGGTCCTCCAGATTGTATATGAATTTTGTCCTGTTGGCCGGATTCTGGGTAATCTCCTTGCCTAAATTGTCCAGAGTCACGTTGGAGGCGAAGAGTTCGGTGGGCGTCAGGTACCCATCGCTGTTCTTGATGTACCTCCTGTAGTTCTTCCTTAGACACTGCCATGTGGTGGCATACAGGACGAACGCCGACGACTTGAGGACGATGGCGATGCTGACGTACAAGTGCCTGTAGGCCACGTTGTCGTACAGCATGCAGGCCCCCTTCTCTCCGCAGACTGAGCTCCAGAACAAACAGGTGGAGTCGATGCCCATCCCGAAAATCAGAGGAGGAGGGATGAAGCCTGGACCAGCGGGGGGGGGGGGGGGGGGGGGGGGGGGGGGGATAGGTCAATAAGTCAAAAAGAGTTTGAGCTGAAATTCCAGCTGGAAATCGCCCTGACATTAGCATCTACTGAGCAACAGCAGCTCAAGCCGAAGAAAAACACAACTTAGTTCAGACTGTGTGACATCACAACACAAATGCAAGGTGAAGGTGGTGTAGAGGACGCTTCTCACCTATCAGCCTTAAGAGCAGGAACAAAACTCCGAGAGCGTACGATTTAAGCTCTGGGCTCACAGTTCTGAGGAGGAAAGGAAGAATGAATGGATCAATAACAGATGTGTTCGTCTCGGTTTGTTTGTTAAAGGCTCACAGCTGACAGAGGTTTGATGATTTAGGACGTTTAATTGTGGAAAAAAGCAACAACAGAAGAAATCACTTTATCCCAGTGCTGATGTTTTAACCCTACCAACACGGGTCTGTCTGTCTATTCTAACGCCTTAAAGCAACAATCTGGAGTTTTCCCCCTTTCAGGAATTATGTTTGATTTTTTTAGACCTCCGTAAAAGGGATAGTCTGAACTTGTACTATTTAATGTAGGCAATGCATCTTTTTTCCTTTTGCTAAGCCTGCCCCCCGCCCCACAGAGCCACATGCAATTTAAAGTGAGCACTGCTCAGCATTAGCCAATAGAGGTAGACTTCCCCTTTCGTGCAGCTGTTAGTCACAGAGCATGGGTCAGCGTCTGAGGATGTACTTAGACAGATGCAGAGGCTGAATAAACAGCATAATGTGATTATAATAATTGTAAAACAGTGTGTTTTAGATCTGTTGGCCAGCTGGAGATGTACATTCATGAATGAGAGGCGTTGCTTCAGCTGTGCAAACCGAGGTAGTTAGAGGGGCTTAAAGGTGAAATACATTTTTCAGCCTCTAGATGGTGTTTTCTGAGAAAAAAACTCTGGATTTCTGTTTGTACATGTTTGAAATCTAAAAACAAGTCTTCAAAATGTTCATGGGAAGTGAAGACACAAATGCCGTGCAGACGTAGGATTACTCCCACGTTTGGCTGCTTCTTACCCTCTTTTATTGCTTTGCTGTTTAATGGAGACATTTTTAAAATGGAAAGTTTCAGATTTGGGGACTTTCTGCTGCTAACTTCTGCTCACAAATAGCTTCACCTCAAACTACATATTTTGAAACACTCCCACATATTTCTCCACAGAGGTTTTTTTTTTACCCATATGATGATTTTTAAAACTTTTGTACTCTTAACTTTCTGCAGATGTGCATTGTGGTGAACGAGCAGAACGTCCACCGAACAGAACACAGCTGCTGTCTTTCCTTTGTCAAAGGCACACTGTGCAACTTTTTCCTATTTTTAAATCATGTTCTTGTGCCAGTGTGAGCTAAAATGACTCTTTACAGGGTTAATGAAATGTCACTCACGCTGATCCCTGGTGGACTTAGCAAAAGCGGAGCTGAATGAAGGCTGAGAAGACTTTTCAGCAGTTAGACTAAGGTGTTAAAAAGACAAATGTAAGTTGAGGAGATAAGTTTTACTTCTGATTTTACAATAACAGACTCTAGGGGGTGCTAAAAGCAAGCCAAACCTGCAGAGTTGCCCTATATTGCGTCTGTGATGACATTCAGAATGCGTTTATGACTCATTCAGCTAGAAATACCAACAGCTCCTTCTTGTGGGCGTGCCAAAGCTGTACCTGATGAGGATGATGACAGAGGGAGTCTGAGCCATGGCTCCAATCATGCTGCACACACAGATAATACACAGGAAGGTGAGAAAGGCCTGCTGACAGCCGGGACTTGGGCACTTTCCCGGTAAAGCCACAGCATCCTCGCCGGAGCTGGACACACACGCGCAGCTGCTCAGGTTCTGAAACAAACACAAGATCATAGAGACACCAAGGTTACACAGATCTGACCCGACCTTCTTCTCTTTAGGGCTGAGAAGGTTAAGGAAACGGCTTCCCTCACCGGTTTGGTGCAGCCGGCGAAGCACGCTGACATGTAAGTGATGCCGTTGGATCCACAAACGGGACTCACTGAAGCAGTGTAACAGTTACAGTTACTGATGCAGGCAGACTCGGGCTGCTGCCAGGACCGCAGAGTCCTACAGAAGCAGTCAAACATCGCATCAAACAAACATACCAGGAAACAAACACACTGACTTTTTCCTCCTTGTAATCCTACTATTTTGATCCTGCATGAATCTGCAGAAGAACAAAACTGTGTTATCGGTCTCACTCGTTGCTGTAGGCCACGGTGACCCCGGCAACAGGTCCTGTGTCACAGCCCAAGAAGAGGAAAGAGATGTAGCAGGCGGTGGACACCAGGTTGACCAGCATGGCCATGCGGACGGCACCCAGAGCCGAAAGGTTCAGCTTCTTCACCAGGAGCCCCCCGAGGAAGATGCCCAGACAGGCGCAGGGGATGGCAGTCATACCTGAAGATGGGTAGACCGTAGGCAAAGGCAACAAATGTCTGCTTCAAGTTTGTTTTTGATTTTACTTGGTTGGAAACATCCCATAAATTCAGACTGTGTCAAAATTTAGGGGCTCCACATTTCAAAGGGTGCACTCTTAAAAAGGTTGGGTTATTTTGCTAACCCAACTGTTGGGTCGAGCCTGAAAATCTTAAGGTTGGGTCAGTTTAACCCACCACTGGGTCAAACTAATGTGACCCAGCATGTTGGGTTAAAACTGGAGGGGAAAAGAATGATTCTCATTGTTCAGCGAACCAGCTCTGACATCTTACACGACAAGGATGACAAGGATTTTAAAAGGAACCCAGGTTACAAAACTTTGTGGTTCTTAAAAGATAAATTTAATTAGTTATATTAAAGTGGTGTAAAAAAACCTTCTTGATGTCTTCATTTTTATAAAATTTGTAAAAACTGTTTAAGTCATGGATCGCCACCCTGCTGGAAAAACCAGCAAAGACCAGCATGACTTCCTTGTTAGTCTTTGCTGGTCCATGCTGGTTTGGTGCTGGTTTAGCTGGTTTATGCTGGTCCAATCCTCATATTAAGCAAGCATTCAGCGACAGTGGAGAGGAAAACTCCCTTTTAACAGGAAGAAACCTCCAGAGGATCCTGGCTCAGTATAAGCAGCCATCCTCCATGACTCACTGGGGATTGAGAAGACAGAGCACACACACACACACACACACACACACACACACACACACACACACACACACACACACACACACACACACACACACACACACACACACACACACACACACACACACACACACACACACACACTAGTAGTAGTACTTCCTATGTTAAAGACAGTAAAATTGTCTTTTTCTGGTCCACTTGATGCATAACAAGCTCATAACTTTATGATTCTGGTCTGTAACAAATGTTTTCATTTTCCACTCCTGTGTCCAGATTTCTTATTACCGGTATTTAGAATGCTCACTCCAGAGTGTCTGCTATAGTTGACATTCATCTAGATTTGTAAATAGTACTCTTTAATATTAAAGAGAAATATATACAGAATTTGACTTTGGGCTGTCTCATTAAAACAGTTTCAATGGCCTGTAATAAAATGTTTTCAATAGAAATAGCCAGTTAACATATTATTCTCATTTCTTATTTTTATAGATGTCATCAAAAAAAATCTATGAACTGCGAATGAAGAAGACTTCCACCATACCTAACAGCTGATTGGCTGAGGAGGTGGTGAGGTTGAACTGCTGCTCCAGGTATTTACCCAGAAAAGCGGCAAAACCAGCAACCACAGCTATCTCCATACAGGCGGCCAGCGTGATGCAGCTGAACACGGGGTTGGAGAGGAGGTGTCTGGTTACCCGAGGGATCACTGAGGGAGGGACCATAGAGAAATGAATTGATCTCACAAATACAAGTCCTGTTGTAAACACCAGCTGTTGTTTTTACCTCTGAGATGCTCCCAGACGGAGAGTCCACTGTTGATATCAAAGCCCCGGAAGGCTCCGTTGGATTTAGAGTCCTGGCTCTCCTGGGACAAGGAGGAAGGCAGCATGGCCTGTTCACTCTCACCTCCAACGGTGTCCTGCTCATCCAACTCTTGGGGGAAGCCAAACATGAAGAGGGCCGACAGGAAGAGTAAGGCACTGCAAAGGAGGAAGCCCCCCCACCACGCCCCAATCCAACGGGGATCATCCGGGGTGATGTCCAGCTTACCTGGTGGGGAGGTCAATAAACATGAGCTCTGACTGTGTGAGCGCAGCAGTGTGTGTGTGTGTAGATATCTTTTTAATAAATTCAACAGCTTACTGGTGTCGATGAAGACGGCATCAACGTAGACTTTGGTACAAACCGAACCGAGGATGAAGCCACAAGCCGGGCCGAACACCAGTGTGGAAAACAAGATACCTGAAAGACAAACAGTGGAAGAATAAACGGTTAAAACTGAGGTTAACTGGTCAAATACGTGTTTTTAATAGCAGAAAATAGTCCAAACAAATCAGAAAGTTGGTGCAGCAATCACTTCATGTTCCACCAGAGGGCAGCATAACCCTCTGGCTGCTGTTCCAGGATCAGCCCTCTCAACTTCTGCTCACAACCAGCTGATCAGATACTGGATCAAACTGCCTTCATGCGGTAAATATGGATTATGCCATCAGGTGTTTTGGTACCACCTGCTCTCTCAAAAAGGAGTTGCTCTGAAAGAAATGACTAAAATTAATAAACATTAAGTCTTTCTTTACACATTTGCACATATGCATGGTGGTGCAGCAGCTAGCACTATTGCCTTGCAGCTGGAAGTTGCTGGTTTGAATCCCAGCAGCAGACTTACAGCCTGGAGTTAGCATGTTCTCATCCATGCGCAAGTTCTCTCCAGGTATTTCCTGTGGGTTTCCTTTCCTCCCACAGACCAAAAACATAACCCATAATCGCTAAATCAACATTGTCTCTTTGTGTGAACGAGTTTATGGCTAGTTGTTTGTCTCTATGTGTCCCTGTGATGAGATCTGTCCAGGATGTCCCCTGCCCCTGCCCTGTGACTTCTGTAGATGGACAGCAGTTCCCTGCAACCCCTCAGTGGTTTAGAAACATGAGTGGGTGAATCCACAGCACCATCTGAATGTGTGCTTTCACACTAAGGGGCAATGTCTTCTGTTGATGGAAAGTCACTTATGATCAGATAACATCTAAAGAAGTCTCTTTGACCTTCAGGACACAAGACTGTGCAAAGATCCTGATGATCATTTCAGCCAAAGACTGAAAACATGAAACCTCAGAGGATCAGCGGAGAGATCTGAGAGGCGATCCAGCATGGAGATCAAGTCAAACATCAGATCTTCTAAAACCCTCTTGCCTGGAATAAGACTGTTTTTGACATTTGGAAGACATAAAGTTGCTGCAGCGAAAGTGAGAAACAGTGGCACCCAGTGGCGATAATAAAAAACAACATGAAGCATTTTGAATGAGAGTGGCTCCTCTGAGGTCCCATGAGGCACATCCTGCCTGTGAAAATATTAGGGAAATATTAGGGCTGAACGATTCTGGAAAGTCACCTAATTGCGATCTTTTCTTCTTCAATACTGCAACTGCGATTTAATTTACGATTATTTTCTCAAGGGGCTTTTCTCATTTTTCAACTAGCAGAAGCAAAAAAATCTATGAAACCTTACTGAATATAAACAAGTTTATTTGCATATTTATCTACATTTAATCAACAAGTTTATTTGTCTACATAAACATAAACACTCACAAGTAAAGACAACATTTTGTTTTGAAGGTGCAATGCTTTGCAGCCAGGAGTACATCCCTTGAAGGAGCTTAGGTATTTGCATCACCTGTGAAAATTTATATGCAGGAAAGAAGTGTGTCACATTTATTGAAGTCTTCAGTGTTTAGAGTTTTTGACGTCTTGTCCATGCAGAGCTTCCGTAGTTCAGTTACATCCATAGCTGCTAGCCAAAACTCAGTGGAGTTGAAGTCTCTAACAGTTTTCTGGCTTTACTAAAATGTCTGTACTTATTTAGGTATACGTGCCTTTTCAGAGGGGCCACAATCATGCTTTGCAGTCTCTTTTAGATTGTCTTGTTGAGGTTAGGCATTGGATGTTCTCTAACTTTCTTCTGTTTAATGATAAAGAGACAGAGGTTGTAGTTTTTGGTCCAAATACTTTGTCTAGGGTGGGTGCAGTGGACCTCGGTCAGCTCACTCCATTCGTGAAACTGAGTGTGACTTCCCTGGATGTTGTACAGGATGGAGATCTTGTCTTGGACAGGCAGATCAGTGTGGTGACTAAATCTAGTTTTTATCAATTAAGAAGGATCGCCAAGGTAAAAAACTTGCTGTCAAAAAAGGATTTTGAAAGAGTAATTCATGCTTTTAATACATCAAGACTTGTTTACTGTAATTTTTTGTACTTGGTGTTTCACAATCCCACCTCTCTCATCTTCAGCTGGTGCAGAAGGCTGCTGCACGGCTGCTCACTGGGACAAAAAGATGGAGCATGTTACTCCTGTCCTGGCCTCACTGCACTGGTTGCCTGTTCGTTTTAGAATCAGTGCAAGGTGTTTTTATGGGCTTTTAAAGCTTTGCATGGTCTTGTTCCAGATTACCTCTATGAGCTACTGGTTTTTACTCCCCTGCACGGTGTCTGAGGTCGGCTGATAGGATGCTCCAGGAAGTCCCAAAAACAAGACGTAAGCTCTGAGGTGACAGGGCTTTCACCTGGGCTCTGGAATGCGCTGCCATTGAGCATTAGGTTGGCCTCTTCGCTGTCTGGTTTTAAATCTCTTTTTAAAACCAAATTTTAAGATTTGGCTTTTAACTCAGCATGAGAGTCTTTTTAGTGTTAGTTCTTAAGCTTTAGTTTTTAGTGTACTTTTATGTTGTTTATTGCTTTTTAATGTTTAAATTTCTGTGAAGCACTGGTCAGTTTTATACTGTTGTAAGGTGCTATACAAATAAAGCTGCCTTGCCTTGCATTGTCTTATTTGATTAATGGCAGGTTTTGCTTTTCATTAGACTCCAAATGTAATCATTTGGCATGTTCCTAATTCATAATTTGTAAGAATGCAATCAGCAATATTAGCATTAGCATCCCTATGGGTTTTTCCATGTATATTAGCATTGTGCTAACCACTCGCTGCTAGTCAAATCGCAGCCTTTGCGATTAGAAAATCTCCTTTTGTCACATCGCAATTTAATTGAAAAGAAAATATTACCTGTATATATTAGAATTGGTTTGCAAAACCAGTAACACTCTAATTCAAAAATTGCACTGGAACATGAAACAGTCTGTCATGGTCTGCGTCTGAGTCTTCCCTCATGTGTCTCCTTGTGTTCTCCATCCGTCTCTAGGTTCTCCTTTTGTGTCTACTAGCGCCCTCTTGTGTCCTTGTCTACGTCTCTCTCATGCGTCTCTTTGTGTTCCTCATGTGTCCCCAGATCTGCAGCCCCTCTAGCCCCCCCCCCCAGGTATCCCCCTCCAGGTCCTGTGCTCCCGTGATCCCCTTAGTCACGCCCCTGTAGTTTTTCTTTCTGTAGTGTTTTCCTTTAGTTTCAGCTGTTCATCTATTAGTCTCTTTTAATGTGTTTCTTTCCCCCCACCGGTTCTTTAGTTCTCCTTTCTCAGATTATTAGTTAGTTATTTTGCTCTTCTTGTTTTTAGGTTTTGTCTTTAATCTTAGGTCATCTTATTTTCTTCCTCTTCAACTCACTGCCCTCTCCCTGATTAGTAATTGAGTTCACCTGATTTCTCTCCCTACACACCTGCAGCTCATCTCCCTCTCATCCTCCCCAGTGTCTGTGTCTCACTGTTTTGTTGGTTCATTGTTCGTGTCAGTCTCGTCTCGTTTGCTCTCTAGCTTCTAGTGTCTCTAGTTCTCTTGTGTTTTTGGATCTCTAGTTTAAGTCATTTGGATCTTTGGTTTTTGGCTCCCTGCCTTCTTGGATTACTCCTAAATAAAGGATTTTTATTTCATCTTCCACCTCTGCCTCATTCATCTGGTATCTGCATCTTGGTTCCTAAACTTCCTCCTAAACCTACTCGCGACAGAATGAACCAACCACCCAGGACCCAGCAGAGACTCCAGATGTACAGGTACTATGGAGATCCTGCGACCTGCTGGACATTTATTCAGGACTGTGCTGGCTGCCTGGACTTGAATTCATCAGAATTCAATAAGGTGTCATTCATGGTGCTTTGCCTGGGAGGCAAAGCCCTGCGGCGGGCCGCCAGCTACCTGGACCTTCACCCCATAGAAGAGGTCTCCTTTTGGCCCTTCGCGAAGGACCTGTTATTGTCCTTCGGCTCCACACCACCACCACCTTCCATCCACATTTCCACTACTCTGATTTGCCAAACCTCCCTACCCTCACCCGGTCTGGATAGTGCCACCTCTCCATCTCCGGTGGGCGGTCACTCATCTTCTTCTGCTTCAGCCGGCGCCATCGCAGCACCTCTGATGGGCCAAACCACCACTTCTCATTCACCCGGTCCGGACAGCGCCACCTCTACATCTCCAGTGGGCTGTCAATCCTCATCTCCCTCTGTGTCAGCCGGCGCCATCGCGGGACCTCCGATGGGCTGAGCAACCGCACCTCCACCAGGTCCATTTGGCGTTGCCGGCGTCATCCCTGCACCTCCGAGGAGCCGTGCTCGTGGTAGACGTCACCAGCAGTCTCCAGAGGCCAGAGTTGTGCCGCCTGTCCAAGAGGCCCCTGCTCTGCAACCCAAGTCTGAGCTCATGCAACCATCAGAGGCTCCGGTCCAGCCTGACAAAGAGGCCTCCAGTCCCGAAGTCGACGCCCTGCCCTCTCATCCTCCCCAGTGTATAAAACCCTGTCTGTGGCCTAGTCCACACGTAGCCGTTTTTTTTTTTAAAACGAATATCCGACCCTCCAAAAACTTGCATCCACACCACCTCGTTAAAAAAAACAACACTATGCACATTTACCCGGATAAATACGTTGTTAAGGACATGCCAGACCTGCAGACGGCAGTACTTCCCCCGTTGTTAACCTCGTCCTTCGTCTGTGGTCTTCAGCAAGGAGCAGTAATTCCGCTTGCAAAAACAAACAAGCAAAAAGCGCTTGGACAATTGATAAAGCGAGCGCAGCTCTGAGGGCGTCCATGCTGACGGCTAGTGTAAACACAGGTCGCACACGTGATGTCAGCATTTTTTGTCGCGTAAAGTGACGTTGCAGACCTTAAAACTCCGGTTTTGTCTGTCGACACGCAGACACCCAAAACGGAGAAAACGCAGATCTTCACTTTGGCCGGAGTTTTTAAAAAGATCCGTTTTCGTGTGAAAAAACTCAGTTTTTGTGTGGATGACAGGCCAAAACGTAGAAAAATATCTACATTTTGGCAGATCCCCGGCTACGTGTGGACAGGGCCTGTGTCTCAATGT